GAGAGAGTGAGAGAAAGCAAGAGAGAATGAGAGAGAGTGAGAGAGACGAATAAAATGTTCGATGCTGTCAAATGCGAATATGTGAACAGAGAGTAAGAGAATGTGAGAGAGAATGAGAGAGGGAACGTGTAAATGTGATTGCGCTTGTGCGAGAGAGAATGAAAGAGAGAGACAGAGAGAGAATGAGAGTAACCGGCGCGCCATGTATATTTCACAATCGAATTTTATATCTCTTAATTCTGATGTTATGTGTTCGATCTTCGTCTGTGCAAATCCGTCTGGTCACTCGATGAGCATGCACCTGTACGCGGTTACGTGTAGCGATTAAACACTTGATTGAATCGTGTACGATATGTATATATATATACACATATATTTTTCTCCTTTTTTCTTTTCGTCGCTGATTGTGCTTGCAAAACAGATGAAAAGACCGCGCGCGAAAGCGTTTCTAGTTGAAAAATTCCGGATGGTGTAGGGGTACATACTACATACAGGGGACACGTATACACGACGATGGAAGAGGGAACAATGAAATGATCGAAGTCGATTGTACGCTGATAAATACGGAAGACAATGTATAAGCAGTTTATTCGTTCGAACATTTACGTTTTAATGTCCACTTGGTTGTTACCGTTGTTTCATAGTTGCTTCATAGTTTCACTATTCGCCGAATGTTTGAAAATGTTTAAAGGAAAATTCTGAATGGATTCATGGATTTTCAAGATTATTGTCAACGAATTCGAGGATGTACCGAATACCTGGATTCTCGATCGTCTTCACTCATTCTCCGTTTTCGACCGGTAAACTCGCTGAAAAGGGACCGATGAGCTGAATTCGGGGTAGATTTAATGGACGTCGCTTGTCACCCGCTGAAACTCGCCCTCGCACTCCTTTATTTCATTTTATTCTACCTTTCTTTCATCTCATAATTTTCACTCGTTTACCGATCTTCGATTTCTAATTATGTCATACGTCATTCGTATTCGTCTTCTTCAATTTCACATTAATCTCCACGCTTGTTCTCTCGCAATATTTTATACTCTTCATATATAATCAACATGTATGCAACAACAACGCTTTTATTAATACGTCGCGAGGAGCATTGAACAGCGTGGAAACGTTCGGTGAATCGGGCAGATCGATCGATTATTATTACCGTGAAGTGTATGAGAAGAGAGAGGGGCGGAGGGGTGGGTGGCGATATCTTATCATATCTGTAACGTGCTTGATTTAAAACGTGCGGCAGGATGGATGAGCGAAGAGAAACGAAGCTTTTTTACTCGTGAACAAAAAAAAATGAATATACGTATACACATACCTACACCCACGCGTACACACGAGGAAACGAAGGACAATTTGCTAATTGTAAGACGATTTCTAAGTAAAACGAAACAAATTTTGCAAGTGCATGACTTTGTAATCAGTAGGCTCTTGGGAGAGTGGCAACGTAATTAACCGAACACGATGAATATATCTCTCTGTACTAGCGGATAACGCTCGATTAAAGGAAGAAAAGAAAATGCGTAAAAAATATATATATACATATATACAAGACTACGAATCATGTAACACAACGTTCAGTTTGTAAATTCGCCGGTTACTCGCGGCCAATCGGGCCTCTCCGCGTGGTTCGATTCGATCCTGGATGTTTTTTATATACTCGCCGTTCCTTCGATCAGATGTAATTACGAGGTTCTCGGAACAAATTCCTCTTTTCCAAAGGAACATGTATTTCAGCTTGTAGATTCTGTTCGCGGCAAATCGAGGCGAATCCCGGTTTCATTTCCAACGTGTAAATGTGCCCCCCCACGATGAATCGCGCGGGAGCCCGCGGTGGCCGCGTACTGTTAACGCTTAACAATGTAAAAGTACCGCATATCCTGTACAGACGTAGGACTTTCGTAACTTGGTAGCCGGTCTTAAGGAAATTCCAGGAGTTGCGGGAGGGCGGGTTTGCTTTTTTATACTTGTATATCGACGAACGAGAGGCGGGATTCCGTGAAGCTATCGGGGAAACGTCGGTGAAATTCACGTAGGAAGTTTCGCTAGAGATCTTTCGAGAGATATATCGATACCACACGCGACGAACACAGAAGCTTGACGAAAATACGTGCGGTTACTGGCCAGAGATTCTCTCTGAGACGAGAAACCTGCGAAGAATGTAAGGTAGACAAGGATTTTACTCTTTTCCGAACTCTTTTCTGTAACGTTATACATACGAATTTAACGCTCGTCGTCGTTTCCCGATGGAAACTTGGAAAATGTTCGTACGTTGTGACATTGCCTATGTAAAAGGAACATCGCTGTATCGTCCTCTTTTTCCCTTATCGCTCGTAAGAAAATCGCTGGCGAGTAACTGCTCGAATACCGGTGTAAACCGTGCGACAAAAGAGCGATAGACGTGGAACGTTTTTATCGAGTTTTCGTTCGAGGCCAGACTCAATCTGATTTCAGCCTTAATTTTCTTCGCAGTTCCAGTTTTCGTACGACACTGTAAATATCTATATATATATGTATACATATATCTCGAGGCAGGAACGAGTCCGTTCGAATCGCTCGGGAACGATCAAACAAATTCGTGTAAACTGTGCAAAGGTGCAACTGTGTAAATATTGAACCAAACGTTGTCGTGAAAGTGAGCGAGAAAGTGGGAGAGAGAAAGGGAGAGAAAGAGAGAGAGAGAGAGAGAGAGAGAAAGAGCGAAAGGGAGAGAAAGAGAGGGAGAGAGAGAGAAAGAGCGAAAGAGAGGGAGAGAGAGAGGAAGAGCGAAAGAGAGGGAGAGAGAGAAAGTTGATAAAAATTTCCAAATAATCCTGTGTAATAATTCGAGTAGCGATATCTAGGGATCTCGTTTATATTTTCTCCGTAGATCAGAGCTTTTTCTAAGCCGAACAACGACGCAACCATCGTATCGATCTTTTCCATTGAATTCCGGGTTGGGGGTGGGGTGACGATAAATCCAAACTGAAACGCGAAGAGAATCAAGGTGACGTTGATTTTTCATTCATCACACACTTTCTTGCCATGCCCATCTGTACATAGGCATGCTCAATCTTAGGATCGAACACGCATCGTGAATCACATATAAATATATATATATGTATATGTATGTATATAC